GCGAATGCACTTAAAGATACTTGGAAAGTTCTTGAAATGTTCCATATTGACTGACCTTCATGTCTTAAAGTAATGATGGACTGTCGTTTCTCTTTGCTTATTTGAGCTGTTCTTGCTATAATATGGACTTGGTCTTTTACCAAATAGGGCTATCTTCTATATACCCCCCCTACCTTGTCACAACACAACTGATTTGCTCAAACGCATTAAGAAAGAAATTCCACAAATTAACTTTTAAGAAGGCACACCTGTTAATTGAAATGCATTCCAGGTGACTACCTCATGAAGCTGGTTGAGAGAATGCCAAGAGTGTGCAAAGCTGTCATCAAGGTAAAGGGTGGCTATTTGAAGAATCTCAAATATAAAATATATTTTGATTTGTTTAACACTTTTTTGGTTACTACATGATTCCATATGTGTTATTTCATAGTTTTGATGTCTTCACTATTATTCTACAATATAGAAAATAGTAAAAATAAAGAAAAACCCTTGAATGAGTAGGTGTGTCCAAACTTTTGACTGGTACTGTATGTATTTACTACAGGAAAAGGCAGGCCGAACAGGCCCCCATTAACTTCGACGGGGCTGTAAGGCGTTACAATTATTTGTAATATGTTCGTCAGGCAGGCTATTTTTCTTAATGTCATGGGGATCTCATAAATAGACTCCCATATGTTCCATGTGTATCTAGTTTTATTTGTTGATATACAAATAAATCCAAGGTACTCAGTTGACATTTTTAGTTATTACCTAGCTAAATGACTATTAGGCATTTCCACATTCAAATCACATGGCGCATCTATTAATTTCTGGCCTTCATCAAGTGTGCCCCCTAATGAGTCGGTTGTATGTTTTTCAGAACATTTGGCATCCTTTCCCAATGCTCATGCCGTTGCCTCTGTCTCTGGAGTCACAGCAGCTGTCAGATAGGCGGTGGTGTGGTGCTACCTGGAGGAGTGGGTGTAGTCATTCTTTCCAAACGACCCGCCCAGCGAAGGAAAGGCGCCCTGTGTGAAAAATTCTATGAGAAACAGTGACATACACTCTGAATTACCTAAAATTATAAATCCCATATTGGTCTTTCACAGTCAGGCCAACCAAAGCTGTACTGTGCAAGTAGGCTAATAGTAGGTCTACTATTGAAAAAGAAAAACTGAGTCAGAAATTCACAGGTTTCAGATTTTCTACCATTATTCCGGTTTTTGTTCTCAAAGTCACACTTTTTAACAGGAAAACAACAAAATTGTATGTTCTAAGTCCATAACAATGCTTAAACCACATCAGGAGACGACTTGAGGTCTGGGAAAAATCTTAGATTTTTTATATATTTTTTAGAGTATTTACACTTTATTTCAAGTGTGCAGGCACCTAGCACTTAATTAGTTGTGTTTCTGTAGCACAGGAGATGGCGTTTGCAAAATAAATGGCCACTGGATTGACGCAAATAATCATGATATCATTCTGACAGGTAGGCATAGACTACTTTGTAGCTAGTTAACATTTAATAGATTGTTTTTGGTAAAGCCGTTCCATGTACCAGAAGACCGTTAGGCCTATCATTAGCATCGCTATATTTTTCCTATGAGGCATGTCTTAACTTGCTTCAAAGTCGCAGATAGACCTATGTCACAGATGTTCTATACATCAGTGATGATCCAGATGTACAGTGAGGGAAAAAAGTATTTGATCCCCTGCTTATTTTGTAAATTTGCCCACTGACAAAGAAATGATCAGTCTATAATTTTAATGGTAGGTTTATTTTAACAGTGAGAGACAGAATAACAACAAAAAAATCCAGAAAAATGAATGTCAAAAATGTTACAAAAGTATTTGACCCCTCTGCAAAACATGACTTAGTACTTGGTGGCAAAACCCTTGTTGGCAATCACAGAGGTCAGACGTTTCTTGTAGTTGGCCACCAGGTTTGCACACATCTTAGGAGGGATTTTGTCCCACTTCTCTTTGCAGATCTTCTCCAAGTCATTAAGGTTTTGAGGCTGACGTTTGGCAACTCGAACCTTCAGCTCCTTCCACAGATTTTCTATGGGATTAAGGTCTGGAGACTGGCTAGGCCACTCCAGGACCTTAATGTGCTTCTTCTTGAGCCACTCCTTTGTTGCCTTGGCCATGTGTTTTGGGTCATTGTCATGCTGGAATATCCATCCACGACCCATTTTCAATGCCCTGGCTGAGGGAAGGAGGTTCTCACCCAAGATTTGACGGTACATGGCCCCGTCCATCGTCCCTTTGATGCGGTGAAGTTGTCCTGTCCCCTTAGCAGAAAAACACCCCAAAGCATAATGTTTCCACCTCCATGTTTGACGGTGGGGATGGTGTTCTTGGGGTCATAGGCAGCATTCCTCCTCCTCCAAACACGGCAAGTTGAGTTGATGCCAAAGAGCTCCATTTTGGTCTCATCTGACCACAACACTTTCACCCAGTTCTCCTCTGAATCATTCAGATGTTCATTGGCAAACTTCAGACGGGCCTGTATATGTGCTTTCTTGAGCAGGGGGACCTTGCGGGCACTGCAGGATTTCAGTCCTTCACGGCGTAGTGTGTTACCAATTGTTTTCTTGGTGACTATGGTCCCAGCTGCCTTGAGATCCTCCCGTGTAGTTCTGGGCTGATTCCTCACCGTTCTCATGATCATTGCAACTCCACGAGGTGAGATCTTGCAGAGGGAGATTGACAGTCTTTTGTGTTTCTTCCATTTGCGAATAATCGCACCAACTGTTGTCACCTTCTCACCAAGCTTCTTGGCGATGGTCTTGTAGCCCATTCCAGCCTTGTGTAGGTCTACAATCTTGTCCCTGACATCCTTGGAGAGCTCTTTGGTCTTGGCCATGGTGGAGAGTTTGGAATCTGATTGATTGCTTCTGTGGACAGGTGTCTTTTATACAGGTAACAAGCTGAGATTAGGAGCACTCCCTTTAAGAGTGTTCTCCTAATCTCAGCTCGTTACCTGTATAAAAGACACCTGGGAGCCAGAAATCTTTCTGATTGAGAGGGGGTCAAATACGTATTTCCCTCATTAAAATGCAAATCAATTTATAACATTTTTGACCTGTGTTTTTCTGGATTTTTTTGTTGTTATTCTGTCTCTCACTGTTCAAATAAACCTACCATTAAAATTATAGACTGATCATTTCTTTGTCAGTAGGCAAACATACAAAATCAGCAGGGGATCAAATACTTTTTTCCCTCACTGTATATTGTGCCTTATGACCAACGTGTGTTTCAAAATGCAATGAACGAGTTGGCTGGTAAATTAAAGGGAATCGCTTCAAAACAAATGTTCAAAACACACTATTCAAAGTAAAAAGCACAAGAAGGATGCTTCCTCTTACAACACAAATCTCATAACCAATGGAATGGATGGTCACTTTTTAACTTGAACTAGGCAATTTTTTATAACTAATATTATGTCCAACCCATTTATGTAGTCTCCCTCTCATTGCTTTGGTACATGACATGCATTAATGTTCCTTTACCTCAATACAGCCCCCCTGTCTTTGTCGATAGAGGATGGCAGGAAATTCCTTCTCAACACATTCTCTGTACTATAATGAGAGAATGATGAACATCAAATAGTCTGTTTGTGCATCCCATTTCTCCACCCTTCTCCGGAAGTGTGCACTTGCAAACTCCCTGTCATGGATTTAACAAAGGTAGAAACTCTGTCCAGCCAATACGTACACCATTCCAATCCTTTTAAATCTAAGATGGGAGTGTTCCAGTGCACACTTTGGGAGAAGTTTGGAGAATCGGGACGCAAACTAGGCCTTACTCTGTACGTTACAGGTCTGTGTTTGACCTGGTGAAAGTGACCCATTTCCTGGAGCTGACAGACCCCAAGCTGCTGGGTTGGTACTTATCCCTGCAGTTTCTCTGGAAGTAGCCAGACAACTGGTTTATATGAAACGTGAGTTATGGCTCTTGACTTTGAACAATTTTCTGTTTTAGCCCAGGCTGAATTATAATAATATAATAATAATAATATGCCATTTAGCAGACGCTTTTATCCAAAGCGACTTATAGTCATGTGTGCATACATTTTTACGTATGGGTGGTCCCGGGGATCGAACCCACTACCCTGACTTTACAAGCGCCATGCTCTACAGAGGACCATTATCCTTGAGAAAGAATAACCTACATACCGTACTTGCTTTACTCTGTATATTTTACTCAATTAATCGTTTTATTATACTTTTATAACAGTTTATATTTGATAATATAACATTTGCTTTTTCTAAATTGTGTACAGAACAGGTGAGAGGGTGTTGGAAACCTCCTGCTGTTACGCAGACGATGTCATCATCAAACCTAAACAAGTATGTTCTCTCTCGTGTCAATTCAGATTGCTACATTTGTTGGTCGCCAGCAGGAGTAGGAGGAGTAGACAGTAGTAGTAGTAGGAGGAGTAGACAGAAGGAGCGGTCTAAGGCACCGCTCCCGAATGGCGCAGTGGTCTAAGGCACTGCATCTCGGTACTTGAGGTGTCACTACAGACACTCTGGTTCAATTCCAGGCTGTATAATAATAATATGCCATTTAGCAGACGCTTTTATCCAAAGCGACTTACAGTCATGCGTGCATACATTTTTGTGTATGGGTGGTCCCGGGGATCGAACCCACTACCTTGGCGTTACAAGCGCCGTGCTCTACCAGCTGAGCTACAGAGGACCACAACCGGCACTGATTGGGAGTCCCATAGGGCAGCGCACAGTTGGCCCAGCATCGTCCTGGTTTGGTCGGTGTAGACCGTCATTGTAAATAAGAATTTGTTCTTAACTGACTTGCCTAGTTAAATAAGGGTTACATTTAAAAATATAAATAAAATAGTAGTAGTAGGAGGAGGACTTTAGTTATCCCATGAAAGGACATTGATTTAATCACCACAGCATCAAAGTTGTTTTGCTTCAGCTCTATTGTTTCTTTACCATGTTATTGTATTCCTCTTAGAAGAGGAGAAAGAGTTAGGTTTTCTTCCCAACAACATGAAGGAGGAGCTTTATCTGTTCAGCTGTTCAGGGCACGGAGGAGTCCAGTCAGTCCAAGTCCACCACCAGGTGGCAGCAGGAACAGTACAACAGTTCAGGGCCTGTCAGCCTCAGCAGCCCTCCACTACCCCAGCAGTGGGCTGTCTAGTCAGCCTACAGGACAGCTTCCAGTCAGCCTGTGGTGATACCAGTGGCGGCCATATAGAGCCACAGAGGATTCTCCAGGCCAACAGGAGGATCCAGCTGCTGTCTCAGCTGTGGGAAGAAGGGGGGTGGCAGGATGTTAACATCAGTTGTGTGAGGATGTGTAAGGACCTGTCTGCCCAGGCTAGCTTCTCTCTGGATATGGAGCTGGAGATGCAGAGACAAAGGGCAGTGAAAAGGAGCCTGTCCGCCATCCATGACCAAGGTGAGTCCATGGCCATCTCAATGTCCATGCACAACCAAACAGCAGACTTCCCAATGTTGGACCAGGAGTACTATAGTTAAATAGATAAACACTCCAAACAGCCTACCCCACCGCTCGGAGGCGTCCGCATGGTCCTAAAGCACCGTTGGCCCATTTGTATCACATTCCAATGATACAACTGTGCCTTTGTGCCCTTGTGTAACAACACCACCAACACCAGCATCAACACCAGCCAGTCAGCGGAGCCGCACTGTGACGACTCACTATCACTCGTGGTCACCAGGGGAAGCACTGAGCAGCCCAGCGGAGCAGAGGAGGCGGAGCCACCTGGAGGCAGTATGGCGTCTTCCTGCGCAGAAGACTGCAGCGAGTACTGTGATTGGACTTATGACAACTGCCCCGGCATCCTGGCTAATGAGGAGGAGGCCTCGAGGTACGAGCCAGAGAATGACAACGTTGCCTATCACAGCATTATGGAAGAGGTTGGGAGTATTCTCATGTATAAAGCACGTAATGAGGGTACACCTGATTCAAACGAGACAAGGCCAAACCAAGATGGATTAGTCCGGTTGGTCCCGAGAGAGTCTCAGTGCACACCAGACTCAGAAAAAAGAGGAGCAGTCCATCTATGCACTGGTGGGGCACCGGCGGCCGTCATGACGCCCGCACAGTACGGGAATGATGTGTCTGTCTGCTCTCCCGTCAACCTCAACCAGACGTTTGATCTCTCGCCTTCACGCGTCACAGAAGCTAGACAGAGCACAGCCGACCATTCAACAAATACTTCACCCAAGGTCACCAAATATGACGTCTTGGTCTGTATTGACCACAGTCTAACAGGCTGCAACCAGGGCACACAAACGCAGGGCACAACTACTACTGACAAGTGTGTCATCACTGAGGTCCACATGACAGACCTGATGTACAGTACAGTTAACAGTCCTCCAGTCACGTTTACAGTGGTCATTCAGATGTATTTTTTAATGAAACACAATGATTTCTTCAATATGTAAATGTCTTTCTTTTAGGAATTCATCTAGATGAAATTTGCTCAAGAAGAACTGAAAGAGCTGAAAGAGAAAATGGCAAGGTATTTTAGAGTTAGAGGATCTCACAAAATCACTTTTCATTCTGTTATTTCTGTTATACCTCCATTGCTGCTTTTTTTTCATGAAAATCGCCATGGTTCTATTCTCCTGCCTGTATCAGCTCTGCAGACGGTGTGAGTGTGAGAGATGGAGGAGGCTGCGGTGACTGGGACCGTGGTCAATGTGACTGTGCCCAGCGTGTCACACAGGCAGAGCTGAGCCTGCTGACCCTGCAGTATGGGATCTGCCAACAGCAATGCTGGAGGCGTTACAACACCTCACCCGAGGGAGACCGTCTGGTCCAGGAGTAAGAGATGGAACAGGAGAGGAGATAGGGCAGTTTGGCACCTTACAATAAAATGTTATTTGTCACATGCATGGTAAACAACAGGTGGAGACTAACAGTGAAATGCTTACTTACGGACCCTTCCCAACAATGCAGAGAGAAAAAACAGAGAAATAATAGAAAAGTAAAACATGTAATAATAAAAGTAATAAATACACAATGAGTAACGATAACCTCTGGTACCCCTCCTTCCTCTCAGTACATTTAGGTATGTACTATGCAATCAGATAATTGACAAGTCTTTGGGAAATGCTCTGTCTGGGTAAGTATGTTAATTAATTAAAGAATGAATGGATGAATGAATGGAGTTGGCTGTTGTTTAAATGTTTTTCTTTCTATCCTCCAGTGCCTCAGATAGGAGATCCCAGCAGTTGCAGGTAGAGGATATTCGCGTAGAGGACGTCAGCGTAGGTGGTGAAGAAGAGGGAGAGTTAAACAGACTGGTGTCCCAGTCTCTTTCATCGGTCCTTGGACAGGATGATGGGATGGTTGGCCAGGAGGGTCCACCCCAAGGCAGAAGGTCCAGTTGTCCACCCGAAAAACTTGGGAAGCAGGTCTGGGAAGGCAGTCATCCTCCTCCCCCAGCAGCCTGTGGCCAACCGCGGGGCCAGGCTAGGTAATGAGACCTATTCATTCATTCATCCATCCATGGACATGTTGAATGAATAAACATGCAATGCGTTGCACTACAGTGTTCTACAGTGTTCTCAGAGCTGGTTCAGATCCACCTGGATTGACTAACTCTCACACTCAACAGGTGGAACCAAAGACCACAACTCCAGCGAGGCATGGTATGAGGCAGAGGAGGACATTGGGCCTGAAGGTGGGGTGCTGAAGGAAGGAGGTCTGGCTGTGGTCATGGAGGAGGGAGAAAATGGCAAGTATTGGGTAGTGGAAAAAGCTGCATAACGGACAGAAGATTTTCCATTCACAGATGTTTGAGTTTCAAATGTTTCAATGTGCATCGTTTGGGATTGGGTCGTAGTTCAGTATTTGACTGAATCTAGCTGAATTTGATGTTTCAGTAACACTACCTACTGGTAGGTACATAAGGACTTCATAACACATTCATAACACACACACAACACGTACATAAGCAGTGTTTATAAACATACATTTATATTTTTCTTTAGGAGTCATTGGGGAAAAGGAGAAGGATCAGAGCTCCTTCTTATGCGTCACAGACCTACCCTGTGATGTAACGGATTATTATTATTATTATTATTATGTAACGGAGGTAAGCCTCAGTATGAGACAATGTCTCTTACTCAATTAATCTTTCCTCAATTCCTTGCATCCATTGCATCAACTATTTTGGAGAAGGTCCAAGGTTCCTCCCCTTGGGCCTTCTTCTCCAATTCTGTTTGAAAGGAAGCAGGGAGATAGGAAGTGAGGATTCAAGTAAAGAATCGAATTGGGAAAGTGTGAGTAATTTGGCCAAGAGAGGGCAGCAGATCCTAATAAAAGTTCCCTGTCTGTCTGATTTTACAGGGAGAAGTAATGCTCTGGTTTGAGAACTATCAGGCATCTGAAGGGAGCAACAACCTCAGGTAAAATAAAACCACAGTGACCCTGTAGACTGAAACTAAGTTAAGGAATGTTCAAGCGTTCCAAGGCAACATAACTGTTGTTACATCATGTGGTCCTCTGTAGCTCAATTGGTAGAGCATGGCGCTTATAGCGCCAGGGTAGTGGGTTCGATCTCCGGGACCACCCATACGTAAAAATGTATGCACACATGACTGTAAGTCGCTTTGGATAAAAGTGTCTGCTAAATGGCATATTTATCAAGATTTCAACATAATTACAACTAGAGACTTTTGTATTAAAGGGCTTCATCCCTCCTGCAGAGTTACCATAGTGACCATGAGTGGTCCAAATATGGCTGACAGTACAGTGTGTGAGATGGATGTGTATAGTATGCTGGGACCCACTGTGCATGTGGTTCACATCCACAGACCCACCAACACTGGGAGCCACGGTCAGAGCCAGGGCCAGGGGGGGTAAACCCAACAGCAGCAGCCAGGTCCCACAGCCAGCAGACAATTACATTGATGGAAGTTACAATCTATCTGCAATATTAAAGCTGATCTACCCCTCAGGGATTGTAGATGGAAATATTATTTGTTGTCAATATGTTGCAATGCGTGGATTGCTTCCAAGTTGATTTGTCCATAATCCTTGTCTCTCTCCCATGTCTTTGGTCTCTGTTCTCATCTGGTGTCTCTCTCTCCAGCCACTGCAGCTCAGCCTCCAGAAGAGGACTACCGTGTGTGACTCCCCCACTATGGGCAGCTTCGACACGCTGATGGCCCGTGTGTCAGAGCGCCACCCCAAGGCGGGGGAGTGTCACGATCGTCTGAAGGAGCGGACCAATACGCAGCGCGTGGAGTGAACATGATGACTTATTAAATTAAAGCAACCACGAAGAAAACAACAAATGACGATACGTGAAGTTCAAATACTGAAACACACTAACAGAAACACAGAAACAATAACCCACAAAACAAAGGAGAAAACACACAGAATATATATGGCTCCCAATCAGAGATAACGAGCCGACAGCTGACACTCGTTACCTCCGATTGGGAGTCATTAACCAATCACCACTACATACAAACAAAATGAAACTCACCCATCCCCAACACCACCAAATGAGATACACCCTGGCTCACATATACAAGTCCTAGAGCCAGAGTGTCACAGTACCCCCCCCTAAAGGTGCGAACTCCGGGCGCACCAACATCAGGACTAGGGGAGGGTCTGGGTGGGCGTCTGTCCATGGTGGCGGCTCTGGCCCCGGTCGTGATCCCCACCCCACCACAGTCACAACCTGCTTCGGTAGCCTCCTCCCAATGACCACCCTCCAACTAACCCCACCTGGACTAAGGGGCAACACCGGACTAAGGGGCAGCATCGGCCTAAGGGGCAGCACCGGGATAAGGGGCAGCACCGAGATAAGGGGCAGCACCGGGACAAGGGGCAGCACCGGGCTAAGGGGCAGCACCGGACTAAGGGACCGCACCGGGCTAAGGGGCAGCACCGGACTAAGGGGCAGCACCGGGCTAAGGGGCAGCACCTGACTAGATGGCGGATCCTGGCTGGCTGGCTCTCGCGGATCCTGGCGGGACGGCTCTGGCGGATCCTGGCGGGACGGCTCTGGCGGATCCTGGCGGGACGGCTCTGGCGGATCCTGGCGGGACGGCTCTGGCGGATCCAGGCGGGACGGCTCTGGCGGATCCCGGCGGGACGGCTCTGGCGGATCCCGGCGGGACGGCTCTGGCGGATCCCGGCGGGACGGCTCTGGCGGACCCCGGCTGGACGGCTCTGGCGGATCCTGGCTGGACGGCTCTGGCGGATCCTGGCTGGACGGCTCTGGCGGATCCTGGCTGGACGGCTCTGGCGGATCCTGGCGGGACGGCTCTGGCGGATCCTGGCGGGACGGCTCTGGCGGATCCAGGCTGGACGGCTCTGGCGGATCCCGGCGGGACGGCTCTGGCGGATCCCGGCGGGACGGCTCTGGCGGATCCAGGCTGGACGGCTCTGGCGGACCCTGGCTCGACGGCTCTGGCGGATCCTGGCTCGACGGCTCTGGCGGATCCTGGCTGGATGACGGATCTGGCTGCTCATGGCTGGCTGACGGATCTGGCTGCTCATGGCTGGCTGACGGATCTGGCTGCTCATGGCTGGCTGACGGATCTGGCTGCTCATGGCTGGATGACGGATCTGGCTGCTCATGGCTGGCTGACGGATCTGGCTGCTCATGGCTGGCTGACGGATCTGGCTGCTCATGGCTGGCTGACGGATCTGGCTGCTCATGGCTGGCTGACGGATCTGGCTGCTCATGGCTGGCTGACGGATCTGGCTGCTCATGGCTGGCTGACGGATCTGGCTGCCCATGGCTGGCTGACGGATCTGGCTGCTCATGGCTGGCTGACGGATCTGGCTGCCCATGGCTGGCTGACGGATCTGGCTGCCCATGGCTGGCTGACGGATCTGGCTGCTCATGGCTGGCTGACGGATCTGGCTGCTCATGGCTGGCTGACGGATCTGGCTGCTCATGGCTGGCTGACTGATCTGGCTGCTCATGGCTGGCTGACGGATCTGGCTGCTCATGGCTGGCTGACGGATCTGGCTGCTCATGGCTGGCTGACGGATCTGGCTGCTCATGGCTGGCTGACGGATCTGGCTGCTCATGGCTGGCTGACGGATCTGGCTGCTCATGGCTGGCTGACGGATCTGGCTGCTCATGGCTGGCTGACGGATCTGGCTGCTCATGGCTGGCTGACGGATCTGGCTGCTCATGGCTGGCTGATGGTGCTGGCTGGGAGGCTGGCGGTGGAGGCGGACCCCAGCCTCGGATTGCAGTCATCACCTCCAGCAGGGCGGCTCCCATCTGCAGGAGCTGCTCTTTCTGGTCCCGAACCTGAGCTTCCAGTCTAGTATGGGCTGCGTCGGCTCCTGCTGATTCCATAGCAGGTGTATGATTCTGTCTGGCGGAAGGCTCTAGCGGCTCCTGTCTGGCGGAAGGCTCTAGCGGCTCCGATCCGGCGGACGGCTCTGAAGGCTCATGGCAGACGGACGGCTTTGCAGGCTCAGTACAGACGAGCGGCTTATGCAGCGCTTGGCAGACGGGCAGTTCAGACGCCCTAGGGCAGACGGCAGACTCTGGCCGGCTGGCGACGCACATCGTGGACCTGGTGCGTGGAGTAGGAACAGGCCGGTCCATACCGGGAACACACACCAATGGCCTTAACTGCGGATCAGGAACGGGCCGGACCGGACTGGTAACACACTTCAGTCTCTCATGCCGTGCCACAACAACTTCCCTCCTTCCACTCGCCAATGGCTCCCGTACTCCGTTAGCCTTCACTCCTTTTCTCCCTGTGGCAGCCTCCTGCTGCCCAGCTGCCCAAGCCATGTGCCCCCCCCAAAAAATTTCTTGGGGTTGCCTCTCTTCCACGGGCTTCCAGCCTCGCCTTCGCGCTGCCTCCTCGTACCACCTCCTCTCGGCTTTGGCTGCCTCCAGCTCTTCACGAGGGAGGCGATATTCTCCCGGTTGTGCCCAAGGATCCTTTCCGTCCAATAACTCTTCCCATGTCCAGACCTTAGGAGGCGTCCATAACTCCTGTGTAGGTAGGTCCTGTTGCCGCTTGTTACGCTGCTTGGTCCTTTTGTGGTGGGTTATTCTGTCACGATCGTCTGAAGGAGCGGACCAATACGCAGCGCGTGGAGTGAACATGATGACTTATTAAATTAAAGCAACCACGAAGAAAACAACAAATGACGATACGTGAAGTTCAAATACTGAAACACACTAACTGAAACACACTAACAATAACCCACAAAACAAAGGAGAAAACACACAGAATATATATGGCTCCCAATCAGAGATAACGAGCCGACAGCTGACACTCGTTACCTCCGATTGGGAGTCATTAACCAATCACCACTACATACAAACAAAATGAAACTCACCCATCCCCAACACCACCAAATGAGATACACCCTGGCTCACATATACAAGTCCTAGAGCCAGAGTGTCACAGGGAGGCAGATGATCATAGACACCCTGCTGGAGATGAGGGCCAAGCACCAGGGGTTCCTCAGCGGCTTGCCCCTCAAGACCATTGTAGATATGACCTCTGACCTGCTGACACGATAAGGACTTACTATATTGGGGGGCCTTGAATGAGGTAAGCAACTCATCCACTATGTTTAGTTTGTGACGATTTTTTATTTTATTTATTATGGTACATAGTAAATTGTTTTATGTCCTTTTGAGCCTGAAAAATATGGGGGGGAATCATATGTTTAGTTAGCAAGTTGTTCTATTTTCATTTTACATAGAGCTTATGTTCATCGCAATTTGCATGTGGGACACAAAATGCTTCTATCTCCTTTAGAGAAGTGTTTTGAAAGCCATGGTATTATTTCAATGGCAGTTTGCAGTATGTTTTGTCATGTTTCAGCTAAACGTTGTTCTAGGATACCAGCCCCTACCAGAATAAGTTATATTTTAAAAGTTTAAAAGTATCTCTGAGCTGATGGAATTAATTGTCATCTTTTTGGTTGCTCACATGGCAATTTGATTAATTATGTCTTGAAGGATAGTTCACAGTAGTAAGCCTACAAAACCTTCCCCATGCCTTTTGGATGTTTGGAGTATGGAATTGATTTCACTTTGTCTATTGTTACTATAAATAAAAGAGGCTTTAGTTTGGTCATTGTGGGGGTTCTGGGTTGTTGTGCATTTTGAGTTGCTCTGTCAATACCTCTCAACCTCAACTGGCCTTGATACAGTATGTATGTGTACTGTGTACAAGCACATCTCCATGGGTGAAAGTAGATTTCGTTTTTTCCTGGTATGGGACCTCCTATGTGTGCAGGCGCTTGCGAGCCTAATCATTGAATTACATATAGAATCCCTATTCATTCAATAAAATCTCTGTGGGCCTAGTCATAAAGATTTGTAATTTATCTTTTTTAATGTATTACCTTTTACTGTGGCATAAACACAACCAGTCATTATGTTTTTATCTGGTTGTCAAACAATCACTTAAAAGGGCTGTTATACTAGGCTACCCGCACACGTTCATCTACTCGCAACATATTTCCAGCCTCCAAACAGTTGTGAATGGAAAGAGACATCTTTTACCCAAAACACTAAAAGGTGACATTTGGAAATCGTCATTAGGCCAGAATGTATGCGTCCACTGCTGTCCACGCGTGTCTCTGTGTTGGCCACTCATCTCTGCCTTGGCAAAATGTCAGTGTTATCATTGAACCATACAGCAATTTTGGAGTGTAGGCTATACCACCCGTTTTCAAGTCCATTCCCTACTTTTTCATGCCTCTGACATGCGGTAATGATAAATAATGGTGTAATAGCCTACAGTTTTCTTGACATTTTGTTTTATTTATTGTGATAGGCTCATGTTTTACCGGTACGCCGTACTGGATCGTACCACCTTACTTTCACCCCTGCACATCTCTCATCATCATCGTGTATGTTCTCACGTCTCTGTTTATGGCCAGCAGGTGGTGCAAGCGTCCAGGTTTTTGTTGATCGCCGAATACTAGACTGAATATTCGACTGAGCCAGGCCAGTGAGGTGTGAACCATTGGGGTATCAATGCATATGTACAAGGTGTGCTGATTACATGCCCTCTGGATAATGAGGATTTACTGTACACACGCTCTATTGTATCTAACAGGTGGTACCCAATTAACAGAGATCACATCACATGACTGCTGACTGTGCTCATTAGGCAATTAGGTTATATATTGACTAAGCAGAGACCGTTTTTGTGGAAGACTGTATAGCTTACTTCTCACATAATACCATCAATATATTGGCTATTGGCCTACTTACTGGGATTTATTTTTTAGACTGGGCCATTAGCCTAATTGAATATCCTCAATAAGCCTATTTCCTCAAATGGCAGTAGCAGCCCTAAATGTAAAAGGTATTGTGACCTTACAGCTGTTACAGTAGCCTACTGCCTATTCTTTATTGACTATTGTAGGTCAATGTCATTGATTTGATTTGTGTGTCTGCTACCAAGGTGTCAATGCAACGTGTTAAAGCAGGGGTGTCAAACTCATTCCATGGCGGGCCTAGAGGCTGCTGGTTTTTGTTTTTTCCTTTCATTTAAGACCTAGACAAACAGGTGTTAAGGGAGTTCCTTACTAATTAGCGACCTTAATTCATCAGTCAAGTACAAGGGAGGAGCGAAAACACACTCGGCCCTCTGTGGAATGAGTTTGAGCTCCGCAAACACCTTCCATACAGAGCCTCCTACCACATTTTCAGATCAATCATAAATAGGCTTTTATTCAATAATTTCATCCAAACTTCTCTCACATGTCAACTAGCGTCTGCATAGCCGGGCGCTAAAGTAGAACTTGGTTCTATTTTAGACACTTAAAGCACTGCAAGGCCCGCCTCTCCCATCTCCTCATTGTTTTTTATGAGCATATACCCATGTGGGTGATTGAAAGATGACTGAGGTCCACACTCCAGTCCAGTTGGTTGAAATAATGCACCTTAAAATTGGTTGCTAACCGCCATATAAAATCCACAGAAGAAGAAGAGGACAACTAGGAGAGATTACTAGAAAGGAACTAGGTTTCCCCTTTTATCTGTGTATTAATTGTAGGAGTAGAGGACGCATTTGAGGTAAAATAACAACCCAATTGTTATATTCAAGGACAAATTAGCTAGCAACAGCTGGCTAAATGTCCATGAATGTTTCGACTTGTCCCCAATTAATATAGTTGGTTCAGAGTTCGTTTTGATATTTCAACCTGTGCCTGATGGGGATAGACAAACTCAACATGCACACGCGGACGCATGCGCGGAGCCGGTGTGGTCATCATGTTAGTCATCTGTGAAATGGTAAACAAAGGACAGGGTTAACGCGTCACCCTAAACAGTGGGCGGAGACTCCAACTGGCAACGCGTTGAACATAACTGGGGACTGAAGAACAAACTTCGTAGTGATAAGCTATTCTAGTGAGCTGAAATTCTATTCTACATTTAGGCCAAACTTCTACCTACATTTAATTTTATCAAGGGAATATTTACACACTAAATAAGGGTTTATAACGGATGGAAAAGTATTGGAAAACAAGAACCAACGATGTCGGCTATGGGTGAACTACGGACAACATGGTAGGCTGGCTCTGCATAACTATTTGCAAAAATCACAGCTCTTGACTATGAACCCAGTATTTAAAAAATATTGTTTTGTTTCTGTTATGTGGAATTCTTCTGAGGGACAATGAATTGTAATGTTTGTTTTGAGGGCGCGTAACATTATCGGGACAATTCGCTTTGCTGGAGTTTAAACGTGACAAAGAGACGTGTTCACTACTCTGCACCGACCGAGAGGACAGAACGTGCATCTATCGAAAGGTTCGACTGCAGACTTTAGTGCCACACCAGTTCCAGAAAACTTCACAAACAGAGACTTTTGAATAACGGTCCAACACGAGGAAATTATGTGGAACCCATGGCAGTTGTTTTACCGTACAGCTCTTGGCTGCATGATTCTGGAAATATTTATTCACAATGTTGCACAAGGTAAGAGTTTTTCTTAAATGTTTTGCTACACAGTTCTCGCGAAACGTGTCTTGTAATGGCCTATAATGGCAGTATTCCACGGGAAAGTGCTGACTAGTTTTAGTTTTAGAAGGCAATCGCTCGATAGGTGTATTAACATCGGGCCAGTTGTTACAGTAGCCGCGAATTCCTGCAACAATGTTGCCATACACACTCGAAAACTAAATACCCTGTTGTGGTTATCAATCTTTCTCTTTCAAATGTTTGACATTATTGTCACGTTGCATTGAAGTATACATCATATATATTATAATTATATAGCCTATTTATAAACGGAGGTCATCAGTCATAGTTCTTTAATCGCTTCAAAGGTCTATGTTTCACTCTGACGTGTAAGAAATAATTCAAGACTAAATTGTAATTTGCCATATCCCACCTGAGTTTCATTGGCTGGTAATCAAATGTCAGGAATGATCAAATAGAATCTCTGGAACAATGTTGGTTACTTTTACTTTTGCTACTTTCAGGTCTGAATGTGTGTATGAGTGGCAGCGCTATGTCCTGTGAAGAATGCCTCCTCATCCACCCGAGCTGCGCCTGGTGCGCGCAAGAGGTAGGGCATGTGCCACATTCCTCCAACGTGTTGGATTTACAGTACACCACGTGGTGGTGACACTAGTAATCCTCACACTACATTTCTAAATGTGACATACTGAACCCAATAGCTGGCTGAGTGTGAGTGAGGTGAGGGCTCTCATATGGTTGTGTTATATTACATAAGCTCAGGCTTGATGATGGCATGTTGTTTCAAAGAGCCAAAACATGTCAGTGTACCAGTGCAGTTCTGGAACCATAGTTGATCTCTGTGCAGAGTGGACTGTCTCCACACCTCCTTCTATTATGGAAGACCTAGAACTAAAAGAAGAAGATAAAAGATTCCCCCCTCCTTTATATTACCTTACAATACTCAACTGAAGCCAGGGCTGAGTCAGACCAGTGTGTACTAACTCCACTGGATGACAGGTGCCATTTGTTTTGTTCTTCCCTCAGGAGTTTGGCAGGGCGAGGACCCTGACGTCACGGTGTGACCTGCGTCAGAACCTGCAGAAGAGGGGCTGTGAAGCCCATCATATGGAGAGTCCGAGTAGCAGCACCACGGTAGTGAAGAGCGAACCCCTCAGCTCCAAAGGCTCCGGGCCTACCCAGTATGATGTCATCCAGATCATGCCTCAGAAGATCTCCCTCAGTCTCCGGCCAGGTAATCCCCCAGTCCTAGCCAAGTAGTCCAGTCTGTTTGTGTCATGTATGGCATGAAAACAATAGAAGTGACCTACTTTACATACAGTATGAGGGAAGCCTAGTCCACCATCTCTGAGCGTAATGTGCTGCCAAGGCAACAGAGTTTGAACCTAAGGATGTGGAGAGTCCTGAGCTGTATATAGAACAAAATATTATATTGAAAACAAAAATGTAAAAACAATTTGGGTGCTGATTGATTTGTCAACCTATCAAAGCAATGACATGTTATCCATGTCCCCTCCCTTCCCACAAGGTGACCAGACATCATTCAAAGTGCAGGTGCGCCAGGTGGAGGACTACCCAGTGGACCTGTACTACCTGATGGACCTGTCTCTGTCCATGAAGGACGACCTGGACACCATCAGGAACCTGGGCACCAAGCTGGCCGACGAGATGAGGAAACTCACCAGCAACTTCAGACTGGGCTTCGGATCCTTTGTCGACAAGAACATGTCCCCCTTCTCCTACACGGCCCCCAAGTACCAGGACAACCCCTGCAATGGGTGAGGACTCAGAAGAGCACTACTGCTACTGCCTTACTGTAGAATGGTCATGGGTTTGGGTGTAGGATTGAGAATAAAAATGAAGAGTACAGCTGCATTTTGGGTCCATGTTGTGACTTTGGGGTTTTTGCTGTGCAAGTGCAGATTTCTATTATACTAAGAAACTGACACAAAATGGACACTGTCCTCATACTGTAGGGTTAGTGTTGCTGAGGTTTGTTGTGGATGATGATGGCAGGCTGAAATGGACCAGAATAAAACATAGAGGTTGAAAAGCAGCCGATCACACACACCACATTTCCCCCGGAGGTGAGATAACGCTGCACTAACTTACTGCCATCATCACACATCACTGCCCAACTAGGTTATTCCCTGGGTCCTGAATGTGGACTGTGTGTGTCGCAGTCAAAGAGCCAGTACTGCTGGAAACTATTAAAGGGGCAGAGGACAGATCATGACGTCTGGGCCTCTCGTCCTTAACACAGCCCTGCCCTCCTCCTTGCAAAAACAAGCAATACAAATGCCTCAAATTCAGGATCTGTGTTTCCTCCAGGATGAAGGTTGTGTTAGAATGTCCCGGAGGTCTTCCTCTTTGGGAAACTGTTTTACGTACATTACGTACACGTCCTCAATGTAGCCAACAGACCTAGGTTGAAACAGTATTTCAAATAGTTTGCCTGAATGAGCGCCTGTGTAGATGTGCCAGATTGCCAGGGTTGGCACATTTGGGACCATTTAATTGGTTCCATTTGGGCCAGACGAGCTCAATCGAACACAGAAAAACAATTCCTGGTCTGTTACATGCATAGCATCCTCTATGTAGTTAAACATTTTAATTAAAACTTTCTCTCTCCACAGATACAAACTGTTCCCCAGCTGTGTCCCCTCCTTCGGGTTCCGCCACCTCCTCTCCCTGACTGACAAAGTGGATCGCTTCAACGAGGAGGTGCAGAAACAGATGGTGTCTCGCAACAGGGACGCTCCAGAGGGAGGCTTCGATGCCATCCTGCAGGCTGCCGTCTGTAAGGTGAGCTGAGGCCATGGTTGGACTAAAGGGACGGGACTGACTGGCATGTCAACCTATAACCCTGACCTTAACCCTGACCTAACCCTAACCAGTCAGGACCAGGTCTGCTGTAAGTTAAGTCCTTGTAGTTTTTTTCCTGTGAGCGGTCAGTCAGGCAGACATGATGGATTGAGGTGCTGGTAGTGTTCATTAGCACACGCAATGGAAAACTAATATTAGCATTTCTTATTGGACAAGTCTAGGTAGTTCCTCCCTGTTCCCGGCGAGTTTTTTCCCCCCTGATAGCCTAATGAACCCAAGTCACAACCACTATTAACTCTAAATGATTTCGACCAGGGGGTTGAACAGGAAGTGTAGTCTGGTGCAGCTGTTTAAATAAGGAGATAACTGACTCGCTAACAGAGAAACAGGCCCAGTCATATCCCAGTGTTGGGCTGTTGTCTAAACAGGAGTTAATTGTTTTTACCGGAAGAGAATGACTCACTCCCTCCCCTCCCAGCTCTACCATGTCGTTTGGTGTAGCAGCTTGGATTGGACAGTTACAAGTTTGGTGGTTGGTCGATACTTTTTTGAAATATTTGTTTCACTTACTGTGACTAATGAATAATTTGCATTGTTGACCAATTGAAGAATATTCAGCTATATGTGCCTCTTTGTTCCCCTGTAAAAACAAACAAACAAGGGGTTCCCTTCAAGGAATGTCAATAGCAAATGGGCGTGGTAATATGACTGTCAGTGCCCCACATGGTGAACTACAACTCCAGCCAAAACACATTCGAAACATGGCATAGCTGAATATGACAGGAATGTATCTAGCATGTTATTAAAAAAGGACTCTGTATGCCAACTGCCAACACATCTCTTTCTATTGTATACTGTGGCACATAATGCACTGGGCTGGGCGTCACATGGGTGCCTTTATATGCCTACACACTGGTGAAAGATCAGGTCTGTTTAGTGTCATGCCATTACTCAGCACTGTGTTGAGACTAATGCGCTCTGCTTCTGCAATCTTTTGCTGGCCTCTGCTTCCCGTTGACAATGGCCTTGTTCTGGATAAAACACTTGTGTTACTCTCCTTGTTTATCTGTGGGTCAGTGGTTGTCGAGCTGGTGGAAAGTGATAGGGTTTCCTTCCTTGTCTTAGTGGAGTGATATTGTTTTATAGGGTCGGGAACTCTTACTCTCTGTATAGCTGAGAGTTTGTGTTGTTGTGCCAAGGTCTTTTATAAACTCTTTATAGAACAGTTATATCTCAAATAAATTCCAAAAACAATTTATCAATAACTATCTAGGATCAGTTGAGGAACCCACCTCTTTTTTGTTATTAAGCCTGCATTTTCACATCTGTTTTGCTCTCATGGACTGATCCCGTGTGCATTTATACATAGCCTACTATAAACTGGAGGGGACTAATTTAGACCCCAGTTAGGTGTCTCTAAGACTTTCAGTGAAGTGACCATCTCTCTTCCCCTGTGCAGGAGAGGATAGGCTGGAGGAAGGAGGCCTTCCACCTGCTGGTGTTTGCCACAGACGATGTGCCTCACCTGGCCTTGGACGGTAAGCTGGGGGGCCTGGTCCAGCCCCATGATGGGGAGTGCCACATGAATGAGAAGAACGAGTACAGTGGCTCCACCAAGATGGTAAGACAGGAGTCATGGTTACCATAGAGCTATAACATCGCTGACATCGTTATAACATGGTTAACAGTATGAAAAAGGTATGCAAGTCGCACTGGATAAGACCGTCTGCTAAATGACTAAAATGTAAATGTTACCATAGAGCTATAACATCACTGACATCATTATAACATGGTTACTAAAGAGCTATAACATCACTGACATCATTATAACATGATTACTAAAGAGCTATAACATCACTGACATCATCATAACATGGTTACCATAGAGCTATAACGTCACTGACATCATTATAACATGGTTACCATAGAGCTATAACATCACTGACATCATCATTATAACATGGTTACTATAGAGCTATAACATCACTGACATCATTATAACATGGTTACCATAGAGCTATAACATCACTGACATCATTATAACATGGTTACTATAGAGCTATAACATCACTGACATCATTATAACATGGTTACCATAGAGCTATAATATCACTGACATCATCATTATAACATGGTTACTATAGAGCTATAACATCACTGACATTATAACATGGTTACTATAGAGCAGGGCTCTCCAACCCTGTTCTTGGAGAGCTACCTACCTGTAGGTTTTCACTCCAACCCTAATATAGCGCACCTGATTCTAATAATCAGCAGGTTGATAAGCGGAATCAGGTTAGTTACAACTGGGGTTGGAAGGAAAACCTACAGGAGGGTAGCTCTCCAGGAACAGGGTTGGAGAGCCCTGATATAGAGCTATAACACCACTGACATCATTATAACATGGTTACCATAGAGCTATAACGTCACTGACATCATAAGAGCATCTGCTAAATGACTAAAATGTCAAATGTCTTGAGCGAGGACATAAAGAAATTATAAAAGCCGCGCGAAGCTGATTTTTTTTATTTAGTACGATGAGACTGAATCATATAAACAAATATATTTTTATGCACACAGTTTGAGTTTACATAGCTAGCGCTATTTGTCCAAAGAGCTAATGCAATGAAAAACATAATTAACATCATGTGCATTTCAATCAATCAAACTCAATGATATGAAAATTGGTTAAGTGGATTAAAGTATTCTGGTGGTTTCTCCCGGAATCACTAAATGTTTCTATAGTTATTTGCTCTGTGTCATTGGATGCTCTGGGCTTGGTAGTCATGGTACGTCTCATCACATTAAGTTCAGTGGAGGTACTCCAACACAAATCAAAATAATTGGTAGATCCTCAGCAACAGGCTAAACAGGTTTCTCCTCTCTCATTTGATTGTGGGACGAAAGGAATATGCACTTCCCAGAACAGAGCTCTGTTTTTAAGGGAAACCGTTGAACTGGAGAAGGTGCAGAGGCAAATGCTCCTCACGGTCCATTTCAAGTGTAAATCTCACTGTTGATTGATTTGGATGTACACAATGATAAAGGCTTACTGATGCCAAAAATCACAAATCTGATTGTGTGAAAGTGATTGTTTATCCAATGCTTACACATTTTCACTCAGTCATACCTTGACTATAGTGACAATTTGACTTAAGTAGAAGTTAGGATTCACCATTTAATGCACAACTCTAATGCAGAGCTGTAAATTAATAGGTCTAAACCACTTCAGTGTTCTTTGTCCTTTCTGCTGGTGAGAAAGGAAATGTCTGGGGACTCTAATGTAAACACTACACTGGAATCAGGGGCGCAATGGCTTCTCTTCACTAACCTCCTGACAGGGTGAGATGGAAGCTAGACTAGTGAGAACTTAAAGAAATGCCTCTAACATCATGCTCCCATGTTTCTATCTATCCATGTCGCTGTAGGACTACCCCTCTCTGGCTCTACTGGGAGAGAAGCTGGCTGAAAACAACATCTATCTCATCTTTGCTGTGACAAAAAGGCTGTATGTCATTTACAAGGTACATTATTTTTATTGAATTGAATGTTCAGTATTGAGATTAGCTGTGTGTTTGGTGTTTATGGTGTGTACCGTTTGGTGTGTACAGTTTGGTAAGTATGGGGGCCTGTATTGTGTGAAGTCTTGCAAATATTTGTTTATTTAATAACATTTCTCCTATCTTGTGTTTATGCAGAATTTTACAGCACTGATACCTGGAACCACAGTGGAGATTCTGGATCAGGACTCCAAGAACATCATCCAACTCATCGTTAACGCCTACAATGTAAGTAAAGGAGGGTTCTCTTCCATTTGGAGCACAGATTGTGTGTGCTTCAGAGGAAAAGATAGTCTCAGCAGTCCTCTTTTGAAATGGATGTTGGTTGACAGTTGGTTGAAAAAACGTTTTGAAACTGAGGGAAAAAGACAGGTCTTCCCTGAACTTGTCTTTTTTGTTTTCCTTTTTGTGCCCTACTGAACATGACCCTGGTCTCTAGAGGAGAAGAGAAAGTGTTGAATGTTTATGCCTTAGCATTGGAGATGGATACCCTTACCCAGCCCCTCTATTTGCTGTGGGGGTCTGGGTGTTTACTTCTGGCACACGCTACAGCCCTGTGTCTGTAACTCTGCAGGAGTCTAGTACTTTATGGTCACGGAACAAGAAGCAGGTTTATGGCCCAAATCCTGAGACTGAGACCCTCCTGTTACTCCCCAGTCCACCACACAGGAAATAGATTCCATCATTCCAGTAATTTCAAGGAAGGATTCTGGAAGGGCTGAAAAGGGTTCTAGAAGGGCTGGAAAAGGCATCCACATTCTTGTGTATTTTAAACTCAAGATTTTAATCCAAGGAGACAACTTGAGGGACAGAAGAGAGACTCATTGGTTTAGTTTTTCATAAGGTTGCTAAATATTTGTCCTGGCAACATTACTGAGATGGTTCTAATTGAGGTCACTGCTGTGCTGGAAAAACGGCAACAGACTGGTATGCTAGGAGATTTGCATCTTGTCCTCGTTTAGAATTGTAATTTAATTTTCCCTTGGTTATATGGAACAAGAAACACCACATTTATGGAAAGATCAAAAAAGAATATAAGACCAGAGATTTAAATCACCACCAGACTTTAATTGATGGGTTATGCTAAATCTATAATCTTCATTCTACCAAAGTTAAGCCCGGGCTTCTAATGATCTTGAATTATAATTTGCTGTTAGGATTTGATTGTCATAGCAGACACTCTCATAATCCATTGTCAAAGCATCCATCATTCTCACTTGTCTTGTATTATTGTGCTGTGGTCTGTTGACTAAAACCTGACTCTAGGTCACCTTTAGGTAGCCACGGTGGTTCCGTTTTGGCCATAGAAGGGATCTTAAAGCTACAGTCTGATTTGAGTGGTTAGGCTACATTGCCCCTGCCCCATCTCTCAGCTTACCAAACAAAGTGGCAGTCAGGCTGTTGAAATGGCAGATTGTGTCTATAATGCGCTGCAGGAAGGCAGTTATATAATTCACTCTTTTGGACTAGTTGAGAGGAAACAACATTTTAAGGGATGAAAGAATGTCTTTCTCCGTGTATTTAGAATATTTTTTAAGCCGGATAATTTTCTTGTTTTAGTCAAGTTTTCCTTAAAAACAATTCCAATCAAGCTGTGTCGTTTTTTGTCAGTCAAGTGTTTTACTTTCTGTGGTTGAGAGGAACAACTTGTTTTTGCATAGTTAAGGACACAAGAGTTGAGTCTAGAACTGGTAATTATGGCAAACAGTGTTGAGAATGTCAAATATGGATGACCACCAACGAGCAAATATTCAGTACATCTGTTTCTCTCTTTTCCACCCCAACTGCTAACAGAAACAGATTGGATTACAGGCTCTTACTGGTTTCATTATAAAATGCTGAGTGGTGGTGTTTCTGAGTGGATCCAGTGCCAGGGGTACTGGAAGAATGTAACACTCAAATAGTATAGTAACCACCAGGGAACCTCTGTGCCAGCTCTAATATACAGACTTTAACTCTCATGTGATCTATTGATAGGAGTCTTTGATCAGACTTGTGTTTGGTTTGGATAGTTGACCAGTGGACCATCTGTCTTGTTTTCAAATAAATCACACATTTACTACTTGATGTTAAGGTCAAAAGTACTTATTCATAAGTGTCGCTCTCTCTCGCTCTCTCTCTCTCGCTCTCTCTGTGTCCTCCCTCCAGAACATCCGGTCCAAGGTGGAACTGACTGTGTGGGATCAACCTGAAGACCTCAGTCTGTCCTTCACTGCCACCTGTCAGGACGGACAGCCTCTCCCAGGCCTCAGGAAGTGTGCCGACCTCAAGATCGGAGACACGGTGAGTCTTACATAGGCCTCCCGGCTTTCCGTGGATTTGCCCTATGTGGCCAAGCTGAAAAGTCAAAATTGGCTGTATCGTAAAAATGTATACTGAACAAAAATATAAACGCAACATGTGAAGTGTTGGTCCCAGTTTTCATGAGCTGAAATAAAAGATCCCCAACATTTTCCATACGCACAAAAAGCTTATTTCTCTCAAATGTGCACACATTTGTTTACATCCCTGTTAGTGAGCATTTCTCCTTCACCAAGATAATCCATCCACCTGACAGGTGTGGCATATCAAGAAGATGATTAAACAGCATGATCATTACACAGGTGCACCTTGTGCTGGGGACAATAAAAGGTTACTCTAAAATGTGCAGTTTTGTCACACAACACAATGCCACAGATGTCTCAAGTTTTAAGGGAGCATGCAATTGGCATGCTGACTGCAGGAATGTCCAACAGAGTTGTTGCCAGAGAATTGAATGTTCATTTCTCGACCATAAGCAGTACATCCAACAAGCCTCACAACTGCAGACCATATGTAACCACTCCAGCCCAGGATCTCCACATCCGGCTTCTTCACTTGCGGGATCGTCTGAGAAGGGGGGGAGAGTATTTCTGTCTGTAATAATGCCCTTTTGTGGGGGAAAAACTCATTCTGATTGGCTGGGCCTGGCTCCCCAGTGTGTGGAACTGGATCCCAAGTGGGTGAGCCTATGCCCTCCCAGGCCCACCCATGGCTGCGCCCCTGCACAGTCATGTGAAATCCATAGATTAGGACCTCATTTATTTATTTCAATTGACTGATTTCCTTCTATTAATTGTAATTCAGTAAAATCTTTGAAATTGTTTCATATTGCGTTTATATTTTTGTTCAGTATTTTTGGTCTGAAAGGCTTGTCAATAACTTTTATTAGCCACTTGTCTATCGGACAATTTTTTTCTTCTCCGAATGCTCAAGTCACTTGTCCAAAAATAAAGAATGTTCTGCAACACCATGGTCCAAAACGGTGACTGGAAATTTAGTTTTATCATGCAAGGAACTACTTCACAAAATAACATTTTCACTGGGATTGACAATGGAAGGCATGCTGGTCTCTGATCCCAAGTATTATATCTCCTGCCGTTGTGGCCTTGAGCAAGGCACTTAACCCCCCACAAAATACAATACTGCACTGATGGGCTACTATACAAAACGCATGTGGTCCATCAACCCTCCATCTGGAGAGCTACTGGGTGTGCAGGCTTTTGATCCAACCCTGCTCAAACACACCCTAGTCAGCCTATCAAGGGAAAGTTGAGCAACAGATTATTTACAATGTGTTAGAGCAGGGCTGGAGAAAAAGCCTGCACATCCAGGACTCTCCTGGAGGAGGGTTGGCGATCCTGCAACATTACAATTATTGTACAACCAAATACTTTTTATGTCTTTATAAAATAATTTCCTCATTCAATGAACCAGGGATGAAATGGCTTCAAGGCAAGGTAGCTAACGTTTATCTATTTGTAAGGCTAAAGTGTTTCGTTTTCAGGGGAGATTACAGAGCGACTTACAGTTAGTGCATTCATCTTAAGATAACTAGGTGGGACAACCACATATCACAGTCATAGTAAGTACACTTTTCCTCAATAAAGGAGCTATCAGTAAAGTCATGTGAGAGGAACTTTTTGGAAGTTGAAGCTTATTTACTGCATTTCTACATAATTAAACAATTCTAAAATGCTATTTGGAGAACAGCAAACACAAATGACGATGATGTGTAGCCTAACGGGCGCGCAATGATGTGCCAAGTGGTGATTTAGTGCATTATTATAGGGAAAGCATTTAGAATAAGCCGGCGCTGATCCGTTATCAGTATTGTGGAATAATTTAAATGTTACGGTAGAATTTTAATGGAGAAAGCTGATCCGAGAGCAGCGCTGCCTTTCTTTCGATCCTATCAGTATCGACACAACGTATGTTACATCTTCGGCTGTTGCAGGAAAGATGCACTGTTAAAACACTCGTAAACCTAAGTTCCATTGCTATCGGGAAACCGGGCCCAGGTGGTTAATTGTGTTCCAACATGTTCTTGCATTTTAGATGGAATGCATTCATTTCTTCCTTTGTTTCAGCGAACAAAACTCTAAGAAAGGTCAGGGGATGTGGGATCACTGCACATCTTAATCGCTTTGAATTCTGCACTGTTCAAATCCTCAGGCTCAATTAGAGACTTGGACAGGATCTATTGAAACTCTTAACGAGGGGCTACTTTGTACACGCCACCACGCAGAGATCCGACCCTGTGGAATTGTTCTTCCCAAAGCCCCAGTGTCTCCCTCACTCCCTCACTGATTCTTGTGTGTCTTAATTGAATGTAGTGATGGGGAGTGGGGGACTGGGGGTGGAGGCTGAATGAATAATGGTAGTGAATGGGGGGGAATCCCATCTCTCTATGGCCAGTGTGATGGGTCTAACTCTGTCTTTTGTTCTGCAGCGGGGGAATTTGCTGCGCAGGCCTCTGAGTGCCAATCTGTCCTCCTAAAGACAACATGAAGCAGGCGAAAGCCCAGGCGCTCGTTACCAATTAATCTATCCTCGATTCCTTGCATCCTCTCTCCTCGCTTCCTTCTCAAATTGCATTGGAGGAGAAGATCTAGGCTCCCTCCCCTCTGACCTTCTCCTTCAATGCCTTTTGAGAAGGAGGTGAGGAAAGAGGACATGAGGAATCAAGGAAAAACGTATTGGGAAAGAGTCCCAGGTGTCAGTCACAGGGAATGTGTCCCAAATGGCACCCTATTCCCTATATAGTGCACTACTTTTCACCACGGCCCAGAGTGCTCTGGTTAAAAGTAGTGCCGTTTTATAGGGAATATGGTGCCATTTGGGACAGAACCAGGGTCTCTTGCTGCAGCCTCGCTGCGGGGCCTGATGCTGCATGTCAATGTCCTCCCAACAAGAGTTTGTTGGTGAAACCAGAAGCGATGCAAGAGCAAAGACCGCAATGGTAACAGACGTGTGTTAGACCCAGTGTATGTTGGGAGTATGTTGTTGAATGCCACATTGAAGGAGACAAATGCACAGTCTAGAGGCATTTTAATCGCATATCGTAGGACATTTTCTGCTTTGCTTAGTTTTGGGGTATTTTAAATGTGGGTTGTCACAAGAATACTATCATAATTATTTCTCCATGGTAACAATGATCTCTCAAATGTAAAGACAGCCTCTTCAGGGTCAGAAGAATCAAATAGAATTTACCACAGATAATTTTGTCTTCAAATTCAGAGTACTATCAAATGTCATTGTCAAAGTTGAGAGTAGTATGTCCTGCTGGGCTACCTTTTACAACAATCTTCTTAAAATGAGTGTGTTTTGGCAGCCAGCGCATCACCGCTGTATCAACTTTTGCTCATGCACACAAGCACACACACAGCATCCGCTACACTAATCTGCTGCTCCCTCTATTCCAGCCCTCTCTCCCCATCACAGCATTGATGTCCTGTGATTTGGTTCCCCGCCTTTTTACTCCAGCAGCTTTATCTTATAGCTACTAGTTTTCTTAACAAGCCACGTGGTTGAACGAGCTGGGTTCCTCGTGACTCACATGTCCCCTAAATCTCATTACCTCGTTAGGAAGAGGACTAGCTGTAGTGGACGAGGTAGAGGGATTGGCTGACAGGCCTTATGTGTTACGCTGTAGTGGACGAGGTAGAGGGACTGGCTGACAGGCCTTATGTGTTACGCTGTAGTGGACGAGGTAGAGGGATTGGCTGACAGGCCTTATGTGTTACGCTGTAGTGGACGAGGTAGAGGGACTGGCTGACAAGCCTTATGTGTTACGCTGTAGTGGACGAGGTAGAGGGACTGGCTGACAGGCCTTATGTGTTACGCTGTAGTGGACGAGGTAGAGGGACTGGCTGACAGGCCTTATGTGTTACGCTGTAGTGGACGAGGTAGAGGGACTGGCTGACAGGCCTTATGTGTTACGCTGTAGTGGACGAGGTAGAGGACTGCCCAGGAGGAACGTCCCACAATTCTGCTGTCATGGTTCTTCAGCCATGAATGTTGTGATGCTGGTGCATGTGGAAGACAGTCGTTTTGTTGATTTGTCTTTCTTCCATGACTCGTGTTTCCTTGGTAGCTTAAGATATTGACCACCTAGGTTTGGTTTGGAAAGATGTTGCAGGGTGATGATGTCTTGACTGTTTACTCCTCCACAAAGCCACTCCAACACACATTGCTTATTATCATGCAGCAGTTTTGTATTAGTCTTTCCTCCGCCTTCGAAGTGTACAATATTGTTCAGTCTTTTAGGATACACAGAGGCTCTCTCAGCATGGTCTCTGACCTCTTCATCACTAAGCCTGTTGATGTTCGCTTCTCATTGAACGAGGAAGGCTAACCCCGAGACGTGTCTGTACACTCCTATGGCATCTAATAACATAGTAGTCTACAGCCAGGTCTCAGGGTTGGAGGAAGGGGAGAAAGAAGATATAGCCAAGGAAACCCAGATGGAGAGAGATGAGATCCTGTATTCTGAGTGACAGAGCTCTGCTCTCTCCCTCTCTCCCCAGAAGACTCAGATCTGTGCGTTGCGTGTGGAGCTGATGCCAACATCAACACAGCCCTAACGTCCGAGTGTTTGGCTTTGGGGCTGCAGTCCAAGGGGCTGTGGGTGTCAGAGTCTTTGCTGGGAGCTGAACTTCAAAGCAGAGAATGTGGCACCTCCCCCAACCCCTCACATCCCCACCTCCCACTACCCCTCAGGGCTCCACACGGCCAGAGAGCACACAGGCCTCCTGCAGACAGGTGTGGTGCTTCTTCCCTTATCTGGAACCACTGGGATGTGGAAGAGTGGCTCCCAAAGATGGTGCCGTACTGTATGGCTACCATTTTGCAAGCTCCGACCCAACTTTGCTATTTTGTGATTATTTTATAGTTTATTTTTACTTTATTTTCACGAAATGTATCCGCTATTATTTCTTACAACTGACAATAATTTTTGAACATCAGATTGGCAGTTGCTTACCCCAATTCCAGCTTCTACTTCAACTCATCTGCCCTGGGCTCTCTCTGTAATTCCGAACCAATTTTCGGCCTACCCAAGAGGAAACGCCGGCGTTAGAGGCAAGGGGGGATCCTGGTGAGATTAAGGCGACGGGAAAACCGGCCACCTCTTCCCTCCATTCTAGTGGCCAGTGTACAGTCACTCGATAATAAGCTGGATAACCTCTGATCGCAGATTTGCTACCAACGGGACTCTCGAAACTGCAATGTTCTTTGCTTTTCTGAAGCATGGCGGACAGGACAGTGGAGTCGGGGAAATCAAGGGTGGGCAGGGGTTTTCCTCTACATCAACACCAACTGGTGTGCTAACTCCAGCGCGGTGGAAGTGTCGACCCACTGTTTACCCATCTTGGAATACCTGATGGTCAAATGCCGACTCTTCTACCTCCCGAGGGAGTTTTCAGTTGTTATCGTGACTGTGTATACATTCCACCTCAGGACAAGAAAAATAACAAGCTGGCACTTAACAAACTGTACAAGGCTATAAACAAGCAAGAAAACCTACATCCAGAGGCTGCCTTTCTAGTTGCCGGCAATTTTAATTCTGCGTCACTAAGACACGTAATGCCCAACTTCCATCAACACGTCTCAAATGCCACTAGGGGCGATAAAGTCCTAGACCACTGTTATTCTACCCACAAGCAAGCATACAAGACCCTCCCTTGTCCGTCATTCGGCAAATCAGATCATGACTCCGTACTCCTGCTTCCTATTTACAAGCAGAAACTCAAACAAGAAGTACCCGTGACTCGCTCCGTTGAGAAATGGTCACCAGAATCTGAGATTATTCTACAGGACTGCTTTCCCAGCGCTGATTGGAATATGTTTAGAAACTCCGCCGATAACATTGATGAGCAAACCACCTCCGTCACCGGCTTCATTAGAAAATGTATTGGCAACGTTGTCCCCATGGTGAGGGTTCACTGCTTCCCCAATCAAAAGCCCTGGATTAACACAGAGGATGCCGCAAAAACTAAAGCACAGGGCTACCGCACACAGAGCTATTGTATACAACCATGAGGCTATGGCTGAGGACAGGAATAAGTACAAGAAGTCCCGCTATGACCTCCGCAGAGTATTCAAACGAGAAGTATAGGAATAAGGTGGAATCATATTACACAGGCTCCGCCGCCCGCCGCATGTGGCAGGGGCTACAGTCCATTACGGATTACAAAGGAAGACCCAACCGTATGCACGCTTTGACAACAACATCGTGCCAGGTGTGAGGGCCGTCACCGACCTAGAGGATTGGGTGATCTCGCTCTCCGAGGCTAACGTGAGAAAGATCTTTAATCAGGTCAACACCCGCAAGGCCGCGGGCCCATGGTATTCGAGGGGGCGTTCTCAGAGCATGCGCAGAACAGCTGGCGGGCATATTCACTGTCATTTTCAACCTCTCCTTATCCCAGTCTGTAATCCCCACGTTTTAAGATGACCACCATCATTCCTGTCCCCAAGAACTCTAAGGGATTCATTCCACAATGACTACCGCCCTGTAGCACTCACTTCTGTAATCATGAAGTGCTTTGAGAGGCTGGTTATGGCACACACTACCTCCACCATCCCAGACACCCTAGACCCACTCCAATTTGCATACTGCCCCAACAGATCCATAGATGATGTAATCTCAATTGCTCTCCACATTGCCCTCACCCACCTAGATAAGAGGAATACCTATGTGAGAATGCTATTCATTGGCTACAGCTCAGCGTTCAACACCATTGTCCCCTCCAAGCTCGTCACCAAGCTTAGGACTCTGGGTCTGAACACCTCCCTCTGCAACTGGATCCTGGACTTCCTGACAGACCGACCCCAGGTGGTTGAGGTTCGCGCAACATCACCTCAGCCACGCTGACCCTCAATACAGGGGCCCCACGGGTGTGTGCTTAGTCCCCTCCTGTACTCCCTGTTCACCACGACTGCATGGCAAACACTCGACTCCAACACCATCAAGTTTGCTGATGACACGGCGGTGGTATGGCCTGATCACCGGGGGGGATCAAGCTATCACGCTCCCATTCACATTGACTGGGCTGTAGAGGAGCAGGTCGGGAGCTTCAAGTTCCTCGGTGTCCAAATCAATAAAGACTTAAAATGGTCCAAACAAACGTGCACAGTCGTGAAGGATTTATAGCTATTTTTGAGGATTTGAGGACCCATGCCAAACTTTTTCAACCTGTCGGTTAAAGCATCACTGCCTGGTATGGCAATAGCACCACCCTCGATCGCATGGTGTTACAGAGGGTGGTGCAGACAGCCCAGCACATCACTGGGGCCGAGCTCCCTGCCATCCAGGACCTCTATATCAGGCGGTATGGTAGGAAGGCCCAGAAAATCGTTAGACTCCAACCACCCAAGCCATAGACTGTTCTCTCTGCTTCCGCAAGGCAAGCGGTACCGGTGCATCAAGTCTGACACCAACAGGCTCTTGAACAGCTTCCATCCCCAAGCAATAACATTGATAATGAACTAACTAAATAGCAACACAGACTATCTGAGTTAACCTAGTATCTTTATTTACCTTTTATTTGTATTTCTGCACTGTCTATGCACACTCACAGGGCCCTGCACACTCACAGGGCCCTGCACACTCACAGGGCCCTGCACACTCACAGGGCCCTACACACTCACAGGACCCTGCACACTCACAGGGCCCTACACACTCACAGGGCCCTGCACACTCACAGGGCCCTACACACTCACAGGGCCCTGCACACTCACAGGGCCCTGCACACTCACAGGGCTCTGCACACTCACAGGGCCCTACACACTCACAGGGCCCTGCACACTCACAGGGCTCTGCACACTCACAGGGCCCTGCACACTCACACCATCATCTGCTCACTCACACATAATATGCACATACATTTATACTGACTCTACACACACACACTCACATACAAGCTGCTGCTACTCTGTTTATCTTATATCCTGTTGCCCACTCACCTTACCCCTATACATATCCTACTCCAGTATTCCTGCACATTGTAAATATGGTATTGGAACATGACCCTGTGTATAGTATGCTTACTTACTTATTGTGTTCTTCACATTTCTTCTTTCTTCTTTTTTAATTTTTGTTATTGATTTTTTGCGTTGTTGGGTTTTGAGTTTGCAAGAAAGGCATTTCACTGTACTTGCGCATGTGAAATTAAAACTTGAAACGTATAATAATAATAATAATATATGCCATTTAGCAGACGCTTTCATCCAAAGCGACTTACAGTCATGTGTGCATACATTTTTGTGTATGGGTGGTCCCGGGGATCGAACCCACTACCCTGGCGTTACAAGCGCCGTGCTCTACCAGCTGAGCTACAGAGGACCACAACTTGAGTGAACCTTATCAGGCAAGTCTTTGGACTTCCTCTAGTGCTGCATACTTTACTCTCATATTGTTGGTCATATTGTTGGCCATATTGTTGGCCATATTGTTGGTCATATTGTTGGTCATATTGTTGGTCATATTGTTGGCCATATTGTTGGTCATATTGTGTAGATTAGCTTTCCTCCTTGCTGAACTTTTGTGATTAAAGGTACCATACTTATCCAGAGCTATGTTATTGAAGTCGATGCTTATGTTTTCTTTGTTCAGAATTTCTCAGTTTTTTATTTATTTTAATTTTGTTTCATGGAAGGTGATTATGAAACTGATATGTATACTGTAGTTTTGTAGATTTATGGTAACATCAGTTTAACTGGGGGAATTTACGCCAGTATCCCATCTAAATGCAGTGAAATCACAAAGAATAACATTCTGCCTCATCCACGACAGGCAGTGTGGGGATGGTTGCTGTGCAGTTTAGATACACACACACACACACACACACACACACACACACACACACACACACACACACACACAACTGCAGTGGCAGTTGAGCTACAGAGAGACTAACACTGCACAGTTCATGTTGAGACAGGCCATGCTAAAGCGAGGGTGGCGTTTCTCTCTTGTTCAGACTTCCTTCCTCAGAGCAATCAAATGGGTGGAGGTCCTGTCCTGTCTGTGTCATCTGCTTCAATTGGATGATTAATCAACTGACTCAGCCACATCAACTGTCCTCTGAACTCTATCCGCCCTCTCTTTCTCTCTTCTCTGAACTCTATCCGCCTGAACTCTTATCTCTTTATCTCTCTCTTCCCCGCTCTCTCTCTGAACTCTCTGTCTCGGTGTGTGTCTCTGTCTCGTTGTGTGTCTCTGTCTCGGTGTGTGTCTGAGTTAATTAAGTCCACATGTATAAACACAGCTTGTAGGTCATGTGTAGTACACAGTCCTGTCCCAGCCAAGCCTAATGAGAGCAGAATAGGTTCTGTGTCATATGGAGGAAGATTGTGTAAATCTAATGGTTCCAGGTCATGGAGGCCATTTAAAAATCCACTTATGACTAATAGTCACTATGACATTGGTTTTTATAAAGCCCAACTCCTTGATTGAGAAATGTTCTCAAATTGTGGCAACTTGTTTTTCTCTAGTCCAGTCCATATACTGACCCTGTTGTACTATTCTTCTTTCTTCCAGGTGTCCTTCAATGTGAGTGTAGACGCCAGAGGCTGCCCCACTCCAGGTACCCAGCAGAGCTTCACCATCAAGCCCGTGGGCTTCAAGGATCGTCTGGAGGTGTCTGTGGACTACCGCTGTGACTGTGGCTGCACCAACCAGACCCAGGCTAACAGTACCCACTGCAGCTCCATCGGACAGTACACCTGTGGTATCTGCCGCTGTGACTCGGGCTACCTGGGTGCCCGCTGTGAGTGCCAGGAGGGCGAGGCTGGCAGCATGTACCTGACTGCCTGCAGGGAGGCGGAGGGGAAGCAGATCTGTGGTGGGAGAGGGGAGTGCAGCTGTAACCAGTGCCTCTGCTACGAGTCAGAGTTCGGGAAAATCTACGGGACCTTCTGCGAGTGTGACGACTTCTCCTGCGCCCGACACAAAGGCATCCTCTGCTCGGGTATGTGTGCATGTGTACAAAGGAAATTAGTATCCTGACAAACAGTAGTGCTTCATTTAATTTCTATGTTCTGTAAAAAAAAACAAAAAAAAACAGTAGTGCTTCATGCAGTACTTGATATACAGTGAGGGGAAAAAAGTATTTGATCCCCTGCTGATTTTGTACGTTTGCCCACTGAGAAAGAAATGATCAGTCTATAATTTTAATGGTAGGTTTATTTGAACAGTGAGAGACAGAATAACAACAAAAAAATCCAGAAAAACGCATGTCAAAAATGTTATAAATGTATTTGCATTTTAATGAGGTAAATAAGTATTTGACCCCCTCTCAATCAGAAAGATTTCTGGCTCCCAGGTGTCTTTTATACAGGTAACGAGCTGAGATTAGGAGCACACTCTTAAAGGGAGTGCTCCTAATCTCAGTTTGTTACCTGTATAAAAGACACCTGTCCACAGAAGCAATCAATCAATCAGATTCCAAACTCTCCACCACGGCCAAGACCAAAGAGCTCTCCAAGGATGTAAGGGAAAAGATTGTAGACCTACACAAGGCTGGAATGGGCTACAAGACCATCGCCAAGCAGCTTGGTGAGAAAGTGACAACAGTTGGTGCGATTATTCGCAAATGGAAGAAACACAAAAGAACTGTCAATCTCCCTCGGCCTGGGTCTCCATGCAAGATCTCACCTCGTGGAGTTGTAAGGATCATGAGAACGGTGAGGAATCAGCCCAGAACTACACGGGAGGATCTTGTCAATGATCTCAAGGCAGCTGGGACCATAGTCACCAAGAAAACAATTGGTAACACACTACGCCGTGAAGGACTGAAATCCTGCAGCGCCCGCAAGGTTCCCCTGCTCAAGAAAGCACATATACAGGGCCGTCTGAAGTTTGCCAATGAACATCTGAATGATTCAGAGGAGAACTGGGTGAAAGTGTTGTGGTCAGATGAGACCAAAATCGAGCTCTTTGGCATCAACTCAACTCGCCGTGTTTGGAGGAGGAGGAATGCTGCCTATGACCCCAAGAACACCATCCCCACCGTCAAACATGGAGGTGGAAACATTATGCTTTGGGGGTGTTTTTCTGCTAAGGGGACAAGACAACTTCACCGCATCAACCACAAACACATGGCCAAGGCAACAAAGGAGTGGCTCAAGAAGAAGCACATTAAGGTCCTGGAGTGGCCTAGCCAGTCTCCAGACCTTAATCCCATAGAAAATCTGTGGAGGGAGCTGAAGGTTCGAGTTGCCAAATGTCAGCCTCAAAACCTTAATGACTTGGAGAAGATCTGCAAAGAGGAGTGGGACAAAATCCCTCCTGAGATGTGTGCAAACCTGGTGGCCAACTTCAAGAAACGTCTGACCTCTGTGATTGCCAACAAGGGTTTTGCCACCAAGTACTAAGTCATGTTTTGCAGAGGGGTCAAATACTTATTTCCCTCATTAAAATGCAAATCAATTTATAACATTTTTGACATGCGTTTTTCTGGATTTTTTTGTTGTTATTCTGTCTCTCACTGTTCAAATAAACCTACCATTAAAATTATAGACTGATCATTTCTTTGTCAGTGGGCAAACGTACAAAATCAGCAGGGGATCAAATACTTTTTTCCCTCACTGTATGTGCAGAAAGAAACCCTCAACAAACCTCCCAAGAGACTTACATGTGTGGTTATTCAGGGTGTGGCTAAGTTGGCTTGTGCTTTCATGTTGATGCAAGGTTCATGTTTTACTATCTTATCTTTCTCTGACCTGTGTTCTCTTGGCTTTAACACTGAGTGCTCTAGAACTCAGGAGAGTTGTGGTGGGTGTGTGCAGGATTCAGGAATACATTTCTAGTATCAGAACCAGAGCTGAAATATCCATTCTGTGTTCCATTCTTAACAGAACTACACTGCTCCAACCACCAACATTCCCCTGATCTTTCTTTCATTATTTTTCTTCCCCAGAGCATTAATGTACGCTTTTGATTTAAAGATGCATGCGCTGATGTCAACCACAAATGATGTCACATTTTCTCCATGTTGAGGGTCTTGCTTGAAGCCCATGCCCTAGATGTCTATAATGCTGGTCAGCAGGCAGGGTTGCTAGCTGGCCATATAACTAACTGAGTGACATACGAAACAGGCTGTCCTATTAGATTCCCAGAACATCAGGTCCAGTCCAAGCAGCATCTGTGCATTTTGAGTCGAGACCTGCTGGATGTTGGCCCAGGCCCCCTTGCTCATCCCCAAGCTAACAGCTGTTCCACCAAACCACAGAGAGCGCTTTGTAACAGAGGCCTCGCTCAGTGCTTTGTGTATTCCCAAATACTGTGTGGGTTATACCCAGTTAAAGAGCCTTGTTTCATTTATTCAGCAGAGCCGAGGCGAATACAAAATGGCCATTTGTTGTTTTCTGTCGGACCATAAGCAGGCCCTTGGGGTAGCATGTTAACTGGGATGGGAGGGGGGGGGAGTAATTAAATATTAACAGTCCAGTACGCTCTGTCGCTCTCTCACACACACACACACTCACACACATACACACACCTCTCCTTTCGGTGCATGGTTCTCATTCTATAATGAGTTCCTAATGATTCAGAATGATAGTCCTCTCCCACACTTCTCTGGCATGGCTACTGAATCACAGAGTATAAACACTAAACAGTGTTGTAAAAACATTCTGTGTACCAGCACTGGTCTCCTAAACACACAGATGGTTATGGGAAGGTTATGCCTGCTCTGTACTGAGTCCCATTCCCCTCCAGTTAAATGCCTTTAAACAGCATTGTGCACAGTTTAGATCTGTTACGCCGTGCTGATAAGAGCTAATTTTCTAAGATGTGTTGTTTTGGGAAGAGCAAGCTGGTTTGGATTGAACTGTAGTAGGATCCAGACTGATGAACTGCTGAAAGGCATTGGGCTTTAATTAAGAGGAAATACATTGGCACGGTGTTCTGGATGGGTTCTCTATTCTAGCTCAAAGCATTTAAAATCTGCCAGCCTTTTCATCAAAGCAGCGAGGTTTGTAAGTCATCTGGAAGTGAATGTTGTTGTTTTTGATACAATACTGCACCACCATATCAGTAGAACGGAGCAGTAGGTATCAGCCTGTAGATCTGACACCCCTATTTGGGCAGAACTCTCCCATGTCGGTATTGAACATTAAATAGGTACTAGTAGTATTGATGAATGAGTGTTCGCAGGTGAGACTGAGGCTTTTTCTCAAATATCTGAAAATCTGCCCTCCAGTTCTTTTGAGATGAGTGTAATAAAGGAGAGGACAGATGTTTTTGACCATTGAGAAAGGGTGAATGACACCAGCATACTTGACCTCCTCTGGGTCTAGACCTACAGGAGGACTTACTGGAGGCTGTGGGGGTCAGGGGTTAGAGAGCAGACCCACAGTAGGCTGTGGGGGTCAGGGGTTAGAGAGCAGACCCACAGGTGGCTGTAGGGGTCAGGGGTTAGAGAGCAGACCCACAGTATGCTGTGGGGGTCAGGGGTTAGAGAGCAGACCCACAGTAGGCTGTAGGGGTCAGGGGTTAGAGGGCAGACCCACAGTATGCTGTGGGGGTCAGGGGTTAGAGGGCAGACCCACAGTATGCTGTAGGGGTCAGGGGTTAGAGAGCAGACCCACAGTAGGCTGTAGGGGTCAGGGGTTAGAGAGCAGACCTACAGTATGCTGTGGGGGTCAGGGGTTAGAGAGCAGACCCACAGTAGGCTGTAGGGGTCAGGGGTTAGAGAGCAGACCTACAGTAGGCTGTGGGGGTCAGGGGTTAGAGAGCAGACCCACAGTAGGCTGTAGGGGTCAGGGGTTAGAGAGCAGACCCACAGTAGGCTGTGGGGGTCAGGGGTTAGAGAGCAGACCTACAGTATGCTGTAGGGGTCAGGGGTTAGAGAGCAGACCCACAGTAGGCTGTAGGGGTCAGGGGTTAGAGAGCAGACCTACAGTAGGCTGTAGGGGTCAGGGGTTAGAGAGCAGACTTACAGGTGGCCGAGGGGATCGGCTTAGCCTAGAGACCAGTGTAGCAGCCAGGACTACATGAGGCAGGGGAAGCAGCTCCTCCTCTCTGTGGCCTTGTCCATCTTCCCTCTCCTTGACTCTACCCTCCTTCCCTCCCTCCGTTCGATGTGATTACTGTGTCACTTGGTCAAAAGGCATGCCAGGACCAGGCCGGGACTCCTTCCTGCAAGGTGATTGATTCCTGCTTACTCCATAAAAGACAGCTGTGCAGAGAGACAGGAGTGGGCCCAGCTCTGCGGTTGTACCGTAGTAGTAACCTTTTTTTTAAACCAGAAATGTTTTACTGCAATTTTAAATACAAAGATACTTGACTTTGCCAACCTGTATCATCCTCTCTTTGAATGAAACCCTGGTCTTACCTTCCGCTGCTTCCAGTGTCTCGGCATTACGGGACTTTGCATGAATGGAAGAGTTGAGTTGGTAGGGGTGATTCGGGTGGGGTGTGTGGAGATGTTTATACACAAGGTTCCACCTTACCCTCTGATAGGATAGAGGGAATTTTCATAATATTTATGTACGGAACTAATGGTAAGTTCCTAGAGGGTATGGGGCTAGGGGTTGGACAGGGTTGGCCTTGTGATACTGAGCACACATTGAAATAACCTCTTATGACTGTGCAAGGACAGCCCTGTTCTTTGTGACTTTGTGAGTCTTGGTAGAAATGGGGTCAGGTCAGGGGCATTCATCTGCCTCTAAGTTAGTAGGTCTGACAGGAGCAACGATGGGGCCAGTACCCTCTTATGGGGGCCACACTGTGGTGTGTTTGTGTGTGTTGGGTCGGCTGATCTGTGCTCTTGAGACTAACGGTCTATGTATTTCTCTGTATTCTCATGCAATCTTACCTTGGTGTCTTCTGAGGCCTGTGCTGAGTCTGTCAGGATAATGAAGTGTAGACAGATGGGTACTGTATGGATAGAATTAGTCTCTGTACTGTATCACTTACAGTAAAGTATGAAATGGTGATTACCAAGTGTGTGTGTGTGTGTGTGTGTGTGTGTGTGTGTGTGTGTGTGTGTGTGTGTGTGAAAGAGAGGGCGAGCGAGAGTTAAAATATGTTAATTGAGGCAATGGTAAACTTTCTTTGCTTTCTGTGCATCAAAGTCTGTGTGAAAGCTATCGGCTGCCTTTGACGAGGCCTGCCTCAGTAAACCTAGACGTTGAAGTCTTCTACTCTGTCACATCTACAGCAGGTTCTCAGTAACAATAGCACCAAACGCCAGGAATAGCGTGGCTTTGTTTTCCAGACCGCAAACCCTTTCTCCCCATAAATCGGCAGCCTCAGAGTCTTGTAGAAGCTGGGTAGAGATGGAGGACTGAAACAGTAAATGGGAACTTGTGTGTGTGTGCGTGCGTGCACGTGCGTGCGTGCGTGTGTGCGCCTGTGGGTGCCCCTGTGCCTGGCACGACCGTGACTGTGCCTTATTGAAATGAGAGCATCTGGCCGACTTCCAATCCCTTTCTGACATGATTAGCCTATTTGTAAAAAATAGTTATCCTAGCCTGTAATTAGTCCAATGTTTGCAAAACATTTAGCACACGCAAGCACTTTGGTTTTATTGCTTGACGTGTCAAAATGTAGAGCCATATTTTATCCTACAGCTTCTCCCATTCTCCTCCTCAGCCCTTCAAGTTAGTTCCTTAGAACCAAGCTCTCGAAGTATCTATCTGCAAAAAGATGATTCTGAGATCAAATTGTATTTATATTTACATTTTAGTCATTTATCCAGAGTGACTTACAGTTAGTGAGTGCATACATTTTTCATACTGGCCCCCCCGTGAGAATCGAACCCACAACCCTGGCGTAGCAAACGCCATGCTCTAACAACTGAGCTACACGGGACCTATTTGTCACATGCGCCGAATACAACAGGTGCAGACCTTACCGTGAAATGCTTACGTACAAGCCCTTAACAACAATGCAGTTATAAGAAAATAGAGTTAAGAAAATATTTACTAAATAAACTAAAGTAAATAATTGGCTTTAAAGTTCAGAACACTCATTGGTTTGAATGGTGTCAACAATTTTGATCTCGTATTTCTTTGAACTTAACAACATGAATTGGGTTATTTAGAGTACTACATAGGTAGAGAACATTGAACAGAACAAGTCCATGTCAGTAACTGAATTTGGACAAAAATGCAGATAGAACCTTACAGTCCCAAGCTCTATTAAAAAGACTACAGATGCACTAAATACCATATGTCAGGTGGTGCCAGAGGCATAAGGGGTACAGTAAGATCCAGTAACCCATAAGCAGAGAGGTAGCAGTTTGGGTTTTAGCTACCTGCCTAGGGACTACATTTGAAAATTAGCTGACTGGCTAAATCTGGCACATTCACAGAAATGTTTTTGATTGGAACATAATTTGAGCAAGGTTCTACAAGGCTGAAGCAGCAGTTCATTAAACATTTTGGCACAGCTGTGGAGTCAATTAGCGCTTTATTTTTTGTAAATTGAACACACAGCCATTAGTAGTCAATCTGACAGCCCAACATGTAAACTACGGAGCTGAGCAGTGAGCACACACGTGCCTAACATATTGGCGTACGTGTGTGTGTGTGTTAGATCGTTTTGTCCCTTACCCCATGTCTCCCTCCCCTCTCCCTTGCTAGGCCCCTGAAACACCTCAACTCCTGCATCCCCTCCCAACCCCCCTGAAACCTGACTGAACCTGACCAGGATAAAGACCCATACTCCCTCAGGATTGTTGTTTCTCCACTCTCTCCTTTAACTATAGATACAATAGAAGCCACTCTCCTCCCGTGCCTGCTGTGTTTGGGGCCGGTCTTGCCTCTTAGAAATACTTAAAATGCAAGGATCTCCCTCCCAACCCCCCATGCCTGTCGTGTAATAAATAACCCCCAAAGCACTGCAGGTGTTGCTGCTGGAAACCTACAGCTCTCTCTCGGCACCATCTGGGTGTATTTGATGAGTGGTACTCCAAGACTCCATCCCAAATGACACCGTATTCCCTATGTAGCGCACTACTTTTGACCAGGGCCCGGACGCACCTCAAGACTCGCGTGCTACGGAGAGGAGAGTCTCTCTGAAATATGCAGTGAAACGTGACACAGAAAAGGGGGTCAGATCTCTTCTCAGAGCTTCTCTTAAGTCCATTGTGCTGCTTCAGTGGGCAGAGGGTTAATCACTGCTGCTGCAGAACCTCTCTGTACACATCAAACACTGGCCCACAGGGCATGTAGGCTACTTACATTTACATTTTAGTCATTTAGCAGACGCTCTTATCCAGAGCGACTTACATGAGCAATTAGGGTTAAGTGCCTTGCTCAAGGGCACATCGACAGATTTTTCACCTAGTCGGCTCGGGGATTAGAACCAGCGACCTTTCGGTTACTGGCACAACGCTCTTAACCACTAAGCTACCTGCCGCAATGTCTTTCATGTCACGGTAAGGATCTGAGGTTACTGCCCCTAGGACAGACAGGAAGCAGAATAGTGTAGTTAAAGGACAGACAGGAAGCACAATACTGTAGTTAAAGGACAGACAGGAAGCAGAATAGTGTAGTTAAAGGATGGATAGGAAGCAGAATAGTGTACAGTGCCTTCGGAAAGTATTCAGACCCCTTGACTTTTTCCAAATGTACAACCTTAATCTAAAATGGATTAAATAACAAAAATTCCTCAGCTATCTAAACACAATTCCCCATAATGACAAAGTGAAAACAGGTTTTTAGAATTTTTTGTAAATTTAAAAACAGAAATACCTTATTTACATAAGTATTCAGACCATTTGCTATGAGACTCGAAATTGAGCTCAGGTGATTCCTGTTTCCATTGATCATCCTTGAGATATTTCTAGAACTTGATTGGACTCCACCTGTGGTAAATTCAATTGATTGGACATGATTTGGAAAGGTACACACCTGTCTATATAAGGTCACACAGTTGACAGTGCATGTCAGAGCAAAAACCAAGCCATGAGGTCGATGGAATTGTCCGTAGTGCTCCGAGACAGGAGTGTGTCGAGGCACAGATCTGGGGAAGGGTACCAAACCATTTATGTAGCATTGAAGGTCATCAAGAACACAGTGGCCTCCATCATTCTTAAATGGAAGAAGTTTGGAACCACCAAGACTCTTCCTAGAGCTGGCCGCCCAGCCAAACTGAGCAATCGGGGAAGAAGGGCCTTGGTCAGGGAGGTGACCAAGAACCCAATGGTCACTCTGACAGAGCTCCAGAGTTCCTCTGTGGAGATGGGAGAACCTTCCAGAAGGACAACCATCTCTGAAGCACTCCACCAATCAGGCCTTTATGGTAGAGTGGCCAGACGGAAGCCACTCCTCAGTAAAAGGCACATGACAGCCCGCTTGAAGACTCTCAGACCATGAGAAACTAGGTTCTCTGTTCTGGTGAAACCAAGATTGAACTCTTCGGCCTGAATGCCAAGCGTCACGTCTGGAGGAAACCTGCACCATCCCTATGGTGAAGCACGGATGTGGCAGCATCATCTGTGGGGATGTTTTTCAGCGGCAGGGACTGGGATACTAGTCAGGATCGAGGGAAAGATGAACGGAGCAAAGTACAGAGAGATCCTTGATGAAAACCTGCTCCAGAGCGCTCAGGACCTCAGACTGGGGCGAAGGTTCACCTTCCAACAGGACAACGACCCACAGCCAAGACAATGCAGGAATGGCTTCGGGACAAGTCTCTGAATGTCCTTGAGTGGCTCAGCCAGAGCCCGGATTTGAACCCGATCGAACATCTCTGGAGAGACCTGAAAATAGCTGTGCAGCAACGCTAATAGAGTTTGAGAGGATCTGCAGAGAACAATGCGAGAAACTCCCCAAATACAGGTGTGCCAAACTTGTAGCGTCATACCCCAGAAGACTCAAGGCTGTAATCGCTGACAAAGGTGCTTCAACAAAGTACTGAGTAAAGGGTCTGATTACTTATGTAAATGTGATACTTCAGTTTATTTTTTATTTTTTATATGTTTTTGCTTTGTCATTATGGGCTTTTGTGTGTTGATTGATGAGGAAAACAAACAATTTAATGAATTTTAGAATAAGACTGTAACCTAGCAAAATGTGGAAAAAGTCAAGGGGGTCTGAATACTTTCCGAAGGCACTGTATTTATATCAATCCACACCATCACACTCTCCCTTTTCTCTAGATATATCTAATTGTACTACAAATGGCTGTTATGACTACCTCTTTGTAGATACATGTATGCAGTTGTGATTACCTTGGCTACCAAAGGGCATTGTTATCATCATATTCATGATATCTGCTCTCCTACTGTACATTATTTGTTTGATAGAGCTCTGGGCAGGTTGCCAATAACTTTTAATAAGTGTGTATACTGAGTGTACAAACATTAGGAACGCCTTCCTAATATTGAGTTGCACCCCCTTTTGCCTTCAGAATAGAGTATGGACTCGACAAGGTGTCGAATGTATTCAACAGGGATTCTGGCCCATGTTGACTTCAATGCTTCCCACAGTTGTGTCAAGTTGGCTGGATGTCATTTGGGTGGTGGACGATTGTTGATACACACAGGAAACTGTTGAGCGTGAAAAACCCAGCAGTGTTGCAGTTCTTGAACACTCAAACCGGTGCGCCTGGCACCTACTACCATACCCCGTTCAAAGGCACTTACATATTTTGTCTTGCCCATTCACCCTCTGAATGGCACACATACACAATCCGTCTCAAGGCTTAAAAATCCTTCTTTAACCTGTCTCCTCCCCTTCATCTACACTGATTTTAAGTGGATTTAATAAGTGACGTCAATAAGGGATCATAGCTTTCACCTGGATTCACCTGGTCAGTCTGTCATGGAAAGAACAGGTGTTCCTAATGTTTTGTACACTCGGTGTATACGTAATCGGAGGGATTTTAATGATATTCTAGTTGCTTGTGGTGGACTTCAAGTTAGGATTTCAGCCCTTTGTGAGACAAGGTTATTTCACTAGAGGAATTAACTCCTATGGCGTGTCACTAAGATGTAATTTGCAATGCAGTATAACAGATCACTTAACGCCAGATTCACTAAACATTTGCACCTGAGCAAAGTGAGTAACTTTA